AAGCCGTTCAAAGGTGAAGGGGACGTCAGCGCGTGGATACGAAAAGTTGAACTTGTGGCCAAATTGACGAAAGTCAAGGAGCTTGCTACCTTTTTACCTCTGTACTTGGAGGGCAGCGCACTGTCAGTTTATTTGGAATTATCTGATGATGCTAAAAGAGGTACTAGACCGGATGCATCGAGAAGATCCTGTCAAAGGCAAATGGAAGGTGCCGAAGGAGACCAAGGGCAAAATCTGGTGCGATGCGAGTGATTTGGCCCTAGGTGCGATTGTGGAGATAGGAGGGGTGATTATAGAGGATGCAGCTTGGTTGCGGAAACGCGATGATTTCAACCACATCAACGTGGCGGAGTTGGAGGCAGCTCTGAAAGGTGTAAGTATGGGCATTCAATGGGGGTTGAAAGACATAACCATCGTGACAGACTCAGATACAGTGTGTGGATGGATCAAGTCGACGACGTCGGAAGATAAGAGAGTAAGAACCAAGGGAGCAGCAGAAGTTTCAGTGAAAAGATGATTGGGTGTCTTGAAGACTTTGTTGGAGGAGCTGAAACTTAGTGAAACTAAGAATAGAGGTCGTCTGTGTAATGTCGAGTGCCAACAAAGCTGATGAACTGACAAGGGTTAAGAAAGAGTGATTGAAAATGAATGAGTTGCCGGAAAGATGGTCGAATGTGCGCTGCTGGTTTTGACTTGAGGGATTTACACAATCAACATCATTTTGGGGTGGAACAATCGTGGTAGGCCTACTTTGCAAGACGAGTGGATCCAATGGTAAGGAAAGCCGAAGTCAGGAAGGTGGTGAGAGAATGTGAACAATGCCAGTCAATCGACCCTGCCAGCAGCATTCATGAAGCTGGTGATCTTGGCGTGGAAAAAGATTGGGTGAGACTGGCCATGACGTCACTCATTACTACAGCGGTCTGCCCTACCTATCAATGATCGATTGTGGTCCTGGAAGGTTCGCAATTTGGAGAAAGATGACAACTGAAGGGTCACTCACTGTATGCAAAGAATTGGAACAGGTTTTCTTTGAACGGGGTCCAGTCGAAGAAATCTTGATGGAGATCAGGGGGGCGTGTAGGTTGTTTTTGGACGAGTCGGAAACGTGCGTGTTATGTTGTCATGTGTGTGGTGTGCAGCAAAAGTGTGAGCGAGAAAGCACTCCTGTCGAAAAGCGGAAATGCGTGTGAGTGAACTGTGTTGCTAGCGTGAGACGGTTGTGGTTAGTCTGGTTAGACACCGGCTGATGGTTAGTGTGTGTGGACTGTAAAAATTCGTAAAAGAGGATCTATAGCTGAAGAGGAATATCTCGGTGACCTGACGTGCGTATAGGTAAGAACCAGGTATCTTGTTACATCACTTTATCGATCGAGAACACACTGTGATACCCGAAGTGCTGGTATTCGATTTTCAATTTGGCGGAAAATGTGATTGTCTTGAGTCCTGTTTGAGAGGCAGTGTTAACGTTATGATTCGGCTTCTTTCTTCAGATTGTGTATTTTTTCAATTGAATTCGGATTAATTTTCTTGAACGACGGGATGAAACTTCTTTTTGAGTGTTGCCATTATAAGAGTTTATAGTTTTTATCTGTTTTGTGAATGTACGACCGACATGAGTGAGTTGTTCTCTCTGTGGACTCAAGCTAGATCTAGTCCAGACTTAGTGAATGAATTCATTTTTTCCATGCACTTGCATTGAGTGTACATCTACCCTACATGTAAGTCTAGATATCTAGATCTATCTACTGTACAAGACATGGACATTTGGATTACGTTTTGATCTAATTTCTGACGACATGCATTCTTGCAGCAGTATTGTTTCTTCCCGAGACTCGAGCTGATTCAGAGTTGGGCTCATTTCTAGATCTACGACTAGATCTACATACACTTCATATATTTAATTCGTATTATGTTGCATCGCGGTATAGATGTAATGAGAACGATGGGGAGAAAGTGTTCGGTTTATGCATGAAGGACTGGTTATGCCACTGACCCGTTGAAGGATAAGAAAATTTCCATTTAGAAAAAGACAAATGTCAAGAATGGATTCGATGCATACTAAATGCCCTTGATGTCAACAGCATTACTGAAAACATGGGAATATGGTGCTCTTCACTGGGGAGAGCATGTTTCTAAAGTGAAATCAGGTAGGCATTTGGTGCCATCTATAGCACCCTCTATATTTCATAATGTACCAGCATCATGTGAGCCCTCATCTATAAGAACAACACCTCGACCGGCTTCTAATTCAACACAAGCTGCCAGAGTGGTGGATATAGACGAAATGGATGCGTTTGTAGCGCAAGACTCATTAAATCTAGACACTTTGCATGATATGTTGAGAGACAAATTGAAACCTTTGGGGTATTTTTCACTATGTGAAGAGAAGAACTCGGTGTGTTTGTTGAGCCATTCCAGGACAGGGCCAGTGGCAAATTTCAGTTTATACTTGTCTGTACGAGAACATTCAGAATCTGTGACTATAGATTATGAGCTGTACATCTCTTTGAAGAATGTGCGCCAAGAGAATATTAAGGAGATTAAATGTTGGAGTCAGCTGGACGAGCTTGTGCACTTCATTCTTAGTTTTGAAGAGCCTGATGATGACAAAAAGGATCAACTTTCATTTCTTCTGAGGAATATTTAGTAAATCAATAGTCCCAGAAATTCAAGAATTTACAGCCACAAATGCATTCTCATTTTAAGCTATATTAAGGGCTTTATACATTGAATTGAGAAAGTATCTTCGCCAGCCATCTGTCTCTACCATACTCTCACCACGCAAAAAACACCAGTGATAGTGATTATTTCCCCGAGTCATTTTTTATTCACTTGAAGATCGAAAGAAATACTGCATTTTAATTATTGATGAGGTGTATATAAAAGTCTCAATTTCATTCAGAGGAGGAGAAGTTTTTGGTTATTCAGTAGACAAACCAGGGAAAATGGCTAACACTCTTTTTTGTGTACTTGTGAAATGTTTTTTTGGAGGTCATACTCTTATGGTACAGATTCTTCCTTGTCATGTTTTGACAGCTTCATTTCAATTTCAAGAAGATTTATCTATGATTCAGATATTAGAGGATACTGGTGCTAGTATTGCAGCCCTTGTTAATGACAACCGCTGTGTCAACCAGTCTTTCTTTGCCAACTTTTCTACGCCTGATTGTACCAAGCCATGGATAGCCTCATCACCTGTTGATCCTGCAAGACATATCTTTCTTCTGTATGACCCAGTGCATCTTATGAAAAATATAAAAAACAATTGATAAACAGAAAAGACTAAGACGCTCGAAGTTATTGCACTTGTTCTTGGGCAGCCAAATGATAATGTTAAGTTGACTGGTCAGTGGTCCGATCTGGAGGAACTTTGGCATACAGAGGGAAACTCTACTATCAAGATGTCAGCATTCACAAAAGCCTCCATAGCTCCATCTAATATTGAAAAGTAGAAGGTATCACTGATGTTGCATGTCATTTCAGAGAAAACAAGTGCAGCCCTTAAGGTTTCAAGCCATTCGACAACATATGGAAAGATACAGCATTCTTCACTGACCTTGTATTGACATTGTGGAAAGTTTTCAATACAAAAACTCCAAATGATCACCTTCGCTTTAGGGATGAAGACAGAGCTGCTATATCTACTGAAAACTTCAGGCAAATCAGTATTCTGTCACAATGGTCAATCTGCTCAACGAATGAAACCAACTGGCAACCCTCGCATGAAGTGCCTTACAAATTGCACATCAGAAGCCCTACATTGGACCTGCAGATGTCTTGTTGACCTTACACATTACATGCTAACAACGACATCCAAGTTGCAGCACCAGTACCTGGCCGTTGGTTTTTTTCCAGCAGGACGACATTGAGCACCATATTGCTCATTTCCGCAGTGCGGCTGGTTCTAATCACAGCCCAAGATGTTAGCCACAACCATGCAACAGATAGAGCAAAGATGATGCCCATCTGTACCAACTTCTCTTGTACACATACAGATTCTTCAAAACAACACCCAATGCAAATAACTGCCATTGCAGACTCATTTTCAGGAATTTTCATCCCACTACCACATTGACATCAACATTCCTGCTACAGCATTGCATCGCATTGTCAACATTTTGATGAAAGGACTATGCATCCAGCATCAAAGAGAGCATAAAGAACAGTCTCAGCAGAAGAAGGTTGCTAACCTGTCATCAATGTAAAGATCCCGGAGTAGCCAGCAAGAAATGTACAGTGATGGTGAGTTCAGAAAACTTTTTTGTTTTTTCCTTCTCTCTCTCTCTCTCATTCTCTGTGTGTGTCTCTCTTTTATCTTTTCTGAGACTGTAATTCTTAAAATTTTTGTTTCATATATTTTTATGCTGTGCTTCACTTTTATAACCATTGCAGCATCACTATTCACTGCCACCTTCATTCATTATTGTGCTTCCAATCACATGTACTACATGTGGCACAAGAGGCAACCTTACTGCTATACACTTTAGTCTGGGTTTCCACGGCTTGGGGTATATTTTGTAGTCATTTGTTTACATTTGTCATTTGGGACACCCCTTGTACATGATATATTATTGTCAGTGCATGCATGCATTCTCTCTCTCTCTCTCTTCTGGCGCTGTGGCTTCATAAGCGGTCAGCGATGCCGACAGCACGCAGGAACTCAACACTCGCCCGGGGGTCCTTAAAAAGTGCTGAAAGTGGGTTACTGAAATGTCCCAGCAGACGGGTTCTAGCACGATAGCTGGCGGGACACCTCAGGAACACATGGTCCATAGTTTCGTCCTCCTCCTTGCAGGCTCGACAGGACGGATCTGGGTAGTCTGCTGGCGCAATTTTGTGGAGATATGATCTCAGCTTGGGCGATTTTCCACCAGTTCTCATTCATGCAAGCATTGCACACGGACAGAAGTTGTTAGTTATCACTTGCAGCTTTAACTAAATGTCCTCAGACAGTCCTTCCAATGATTACAAACACTAGATGGGTTTTTATTAATTCATTTTCTTTTCAGTGGAATCCCTATATATATGGAACGCCTAAATATTCACAGTAAAGCCCCCTCCCCTTCCACCAATCGTCCATCTGATAATAATTATTATGGCGAGTCGAGACCAGTTCTCTCTTCTTTCACTTCTTGCACTGTAACCTATGAGAATGAACGTTTAAGCTAAATCACAAACTCGTGAAGTGAAAAATTATGATTTTTATTTAGAGCCGTAAAAATTGAATTACAAGCCCATATACGTAGCCCCCCTCCCTCTTTTCTTCGCTTTCTCTCTTCCCTTTCTCTAACCGCTCACGTCGCGTCTGCTAGATCTACTGCTGCTCGGCAGCGTAGTCGCTCAGGCCATTACCCATGACCTAATTACTCAGTGGTGTGTCCTGATATTGTGGCCTTCTCGCCCTCAACCCAAAGGCTGGGGAAAAAGAGAGGTCATACTTGTTGAGGGTGCTCCGAGACACAGCAAAGTACTGAAAAACATAACAGGGAATGTAAAATCTCAATAAATCTTTAAAGACTAGGACACTCCTTCAGACACCCCCCTTCCCATACATACACACGTTTTGAAAAATTTACTCAATACAAATATTGCCACAAGAAACTGTCATGCACGAAACGGAATATCTGGAACATGTCAGATTTTCAGAGTCCCACTGAATCCTGACAGTACAGCACCCTTGAGACAAAACTGGAGGAAGGAAAGATGTATTTCAGGGACAAAGACTTGAAAAAAAAAAACCTTCTTCGTCATCTTCTGGCCCCATCCAACATCCTTGTTTACAAGAACACTCTGCCATACATTACACCCTGTCTGGCACACATTTCTTTAATTCTACAGGGATCACAGTGAAATTTTTCGCCAACCCCTGAACTTTGACGGTCCATTCGATAGACATCCGTAAATATATTGTGCACCCCCCCCCCCCCCCCCAAAAAAAGCAAAATAATCCAAAATATAGACACATTTCACATACTTTCCTCTTGTTCTCACTCGCATCCAGTCTACGATAGGCTGAGCTTAGCCGAATCCGTGGATCACGAGGCGCCTTACGGCCGATCTCAGGCTACTCAAGGCCTATCGTAGCCAGACTTAAGGTGGAACCACCGCTGGCGTAGTTAAGACCGCAGAGCGAATTTTGGAAAGTTTTCGCAACCGCGGAAAATCACGGATCCACGGAAAACCGTGATCCCTGATTCTAACGTGAATATCACGTTTACTGCTCATTATGCCACTAGAGATCTTTGTAGTCTTTCCTTTTTGAAAAATGCCTGGACACCAGTGTCTAGACATGCCCCACATGCAAGGATGTCAGCCTTCATTTCCGCATTACAAGCGGTTAAAAAAGAAATTAAAAACAAGACACTGAGGATACCATGGCGTTAGTGTCAGAACAAGATTTGTCAAAATCTGTGGCAGTGAGGAAGTATTCAAGCACCGGTCAAAAATATCTCCATCCTCAGGTATGTTGCGGGCTGATAATGGCAAGTGTTTGAATGTAGACTATTGTATATTCCTCTGAAGCTAGCGTCAAACATCAAGAAATCCCTCATTCTCCTTGTCGTTGTCTTTATCTCCATCATAATACTCATTGTTGGCCTCGACTCTGAGGAAATGAGAACAAAAAAATATTTTAAATTTTAAAAAAAGAATGAAACAGTGGCAAACATCATTTGCAAGGCTACAACCTTCATATTTTTCCAAAAAAACAACAACAAAGAAAAGTTTAAAATGAAGGCAAAATTTCACTGTCAACAGCAGCCAACTGTCTCCTAGTCCTTGTCACATTACAATACAGTAGTCTCCGCCTAAACACATGCCACACAAAAGCACGCTCCGCTCAAGCACATACTTTTTATATGACAGGATTCTTACTATATAATTTAGAACAAATACACAATCACATTTTCTGCACGCACGCTTCAATCCGCGAAACACGCCAACAGGCAAAGCTTGCATAAGACAAGCCTACACAACAAGACACCTGTATTTGGCGAGACTGCCCCTCACACAGAACAAAGAGAGTGATAGAGTTTTTACGCCCAACTTTCCACGACATATTCTCTGGGACTGGTCGGGTGAAGGGAAGGGAGGGGCTGAAATGTCTCCTGATTGGATAATTGAAAGGCACCTCTGAGAAAAGATTTCTGACTGGTGTTTGAGTGACTGTGTATGGAATGTTTAGTTAGGCCTATGATGCACAATACGTAAAACACTAGTTAGGCCTCAAAGATTAGTGAAGTACATGAAATCAGCTGCGTTCGAAGAACTTACAACCTACTTGTTCAACAAATCACAAGAGAAAAGTCAGAGGTCATCTATGCATTTACAGAGTTGTAATAGATGATAGGCAGTTGGGATTGGTCGCTTGGAAAGCTGTGTGGCTGAGAGCTTTTCTGTGACTAGATCTATCATAAACAGTTTCTGACATTTTATAGTCCATATCGGTACAGTGAGTCTGTCTTTCTGCGCCCCCGCCCCCCTCCTCCCCCACATTCAACGCCTTTGTAATCATATTTCATAATGCAGTCGCGAAATCCTTTACAAAATAGTCACGTGTCGTCACATTATCAGCCAAAGTAACCCCCCACCCTCCAAGGGAGATCACCACAATATCAAGGAAATCAGATGATTATGCCCCTTCCTCCCTTTGCACAGGTTCATGTAAACGCACAATCTGTATAAATACACCCTTAGGGGCCTTCCAGAGCACTGTGTACAGTCAAACCTGTGTAAGACGGCCACCCATTGTCAAGGAGAAAAGTGGCCGTATAAGACAGGTGGCCGTCTTAGGCAGGACTGATCAAGATGAAGAAAACAAACCATTCCTATCTGAGGCCGCAATCGAAAGTAGCCCCATTGTTGTTGTCTTTATTGTTGTTGTTGTTGTTGTTGGTTTGCATTTCATTTATAATTTTTATTTTGTTGCTGATTTTGCAAAAGGGTGACAAAACAAAATGTATCAGACGAGGAAGACCGAGTGCCATGTTAAAACAAAGACATGGGTCGCCACCACTCGGAGAACGAGCGACGCTTCTGTCACAAGTTCAGGTTGACGTCCTTTGTTACTTTTTTGCAGACTGGGTAAACAGTGACCAATGCACAATTTATGACAAAACGTAAGGGAGGCACTAAGGTGGCTGTCTAAGACAGGTGTTATTGCTTAGTGTGATAGGGGTTGTGTGTTAAAATATGGTGGCCGCGGCCGCGCTGGACAGGTGCCCGTTTTACACAGTTAAAATATATAGAAAAAACGCAAGGGGGGAAATAGAAAGTGGCCGTTTGTACAGGTGGCCGTCTTATAGAGGTGGCTGTCACGGCAGGTTTGACTGTACTTAGGTGGGGACTACTGTGTGTATGAAGAACAGACTAAACAGAGTCAAATTGTTTGAAAAGGGGGGAAAAAATCTTCCAAAGGAAACAGAAGGCAAGGCTTGCTTTATTTTTCAATTATTTAAAAAAGGAAAAGATCGAAAATTATCGAAATGAAATGGCCCGTTGGTCTAGAAGAGGACTTAACTTCCACATAAAAACGGAAATGATAGAGGACTATGTACCAAGACAACTTGTTGAGCTTCAGAAAAAATATAGTCTAGTTGTGTAGCTCCTAGTCTAAGTAGTTACTAAATTTTTCAACGAAATAGTTTTCTCAGGGGGTCGAAAACCTTTACCCTTATCTGAGCAACACCTTCAACAATTCAACATCCACAAATACTTTTTTTTACAATCCCACTTGTTCTGCACTTCGCACCTGTTGTGTAATGGCCAGGTTTTTCAACTTAAAAGCAAAAGACAAAAGTCTGATTCCCACATGAGGGAAATATCCTATTGAGTATGATCTCTACCACCATAACATTTAAGGTCAACATCGGCCACTTCCAATATGATCAAAACTATCTTTCTTCTTCACAATTCATGGTTTACCACTTGTTTCTCCGCTTAGAAGCTCAAAAAATAAAATGTTTAACCAAAAACACCCCCCCCCCCAAACCCCTATATCTTCATGAATTTTTCCAATCATCCATCTGCTCAAATACTCCCAGCAAGTTATACTTGGTCTATCTCTATCTCTTTTGTCATTTATTTTCAATGAAACTGTTAATTCATTGTTCGTTCGCTTATGTCTAACAATGATCAGCAGCAGCAGAGGAGAGTGCTTCTTAAGAGAAAGAGAAGAAATAAGGGTGTTAATAACTTGCGGCTTCAGCTATTGCCAACGAGACCAGTTCTCACAAAAAAGATCTAGCCATGGAACTGTAAATTTGTTAAACATATACAATCAAAACTGTCCACTTTGGCATGACATCCCATTGCCTCCCTCTTCACACACACACGCACGCACGCACACACACACACACACACAGCAGAACTGCCAAGGCACATCTTTATTCACCATGTGTAAGGAATCTAAAAGCCTCACCTCTTGTCCATCTCCTCCTGGGAGTTGCGTACATCAGGGTCGGGCTCCTCTGTGTTTTCCAGGCTCAACAGGTCTGAGGGAATGTCCTGCATCTGGACGCTTGGGGCAGACGTCAGCATCTTCAGGTTGTCAATCACTGTCTGTTTTATGTTGTCCAGGTACTGTGGATTGTTTTGTGCATTTATCTGAGTAAAGAGAAGCACATCAATACCGTAACACTCCTTTAGTGCTGAGAAAAGGTACAACACACACACAGAACTAGAAAAGGAATCACAAAGAAGTGGGACCTACTACTGGCGCCATCAAACCAAGTCGATTGTGTGGGTAAGAGAATGATGGCTGTCACAATAAGGTAATTTAAGTGCTCTAAATGAGAGGTGTTACAAGAGAGTAACTTACTCAAAAAAAGAAGGAAAGATAAGGAAGATGCTTGAGGGGGAAAAAAGGAGCAAACCACACCATCAGTAACTGCCCACCACCCACATTATTAGTGGTGTCTTCCAACCACCCATGAAAAAGATCAACAACCAAGTTGCTAATGGATCCACAACATTATGGTATACATCACACAAGCAGTAACAGGTGAGAGAAGAGAAAGGTGGGGAGTGAGATAGTACCACAAAGGCCATATTTCCCCATGAAAAAAAAACAGATAGTAAAAATACTAACAAGATAAAATAGCACAGACAAAACTAGTGAAGCTTTTCAAACAATTTTTCTTTCTTCTTAATTTAAAAAAAAAAAGAAAAGAAAAGAAACTACTCAAATATGACAGGACCCCTAACCATAGGGCAGTTACCTGTCTGGTGTTTTGATTCTCCTGTTTACTGAAAATATCCGGATGAAGCTGGTAGTCTGGTCCGAAGTCATCAAGATATTCTGAAAACAGGGAAAGAGCAGAGAACAATAAGGCATGTTTTCATAATGATGAAATTTACCCAAAAAGGCGGAGAAATGAAGGCTCCAACACACTATATTTCTTTTGGCGGGAGTAATCTTTCAAAAGAAACAGATGTTCATCTGGGACAGTTTTATATATACATCAAACACGTCAAGGAGGAGCTAAAAAACAATGTCTAAACACAGAGACTATATACTCTTACATTGCCCAAGACAACCACCCATTATTGAGGATAAAAATGTTCGTCTTAGACAGATGGATGTCTGGGACAGTGTTATTATAGTATTTAAAAAACCCAAGGGAGAAGTAGGAAGTGGTTGTTTGTACAAGTAACAGTCTGGGACAGATGGTCATTAGAGCTGGAAAGACTACACAGGAGTGCTGAGGCAGCACATTTCATGTGACAATGACAACAGCCATATTTTGTTTTTCATGTTAATGCTTTAGTAAGAGGTTTACAACATAATTAGGTCATATAAGTGCTGAAGATAAGAATTTATATATCTACTTTTTTTGGAAGTGTTTTTCGGCACTCCCAACTGCATAAGGTCATATGAGGGCACGGTACACATTAAACATTTTCAATTGGTAGGAAATTCCGAATTTTGCTCCGGTGGCAACCGCAGCCTACTCTTATTGATTTCAGACCACTAAGGGATCTTAAACGAGTGCAACTTGCATACGAGACCTCCCTGATTTTTCGCCCTTAACCGAGAAGGGTAGGTGTAAGATCTTACCTACCATAAGAAAAGGAGTGTGGCTGAAAGACAGCTGTAAGAAGGAGCCAAGGAGTAGCAGTACAAAGGCTGTAAAAAGATTCAGGAGCCCAAAGGAGGGGGAAAAGGAGGTGAGGGCAGAAAGTGGAGAAGAAAGCAGACGACAGAACTTTGTTCGAGAGCAGGAAAGGATGTGAAAGGAGAAAGTTTTAGAGAAAATACATTTAGGTCACTATCCGGATTTGAACCCGGGACATACTGAATGAAAGGCAGACACCTCAACCTCTCGACCACGACAGCCCTCGAAGATTACAAGTGTTACAAAAGAGTAACAAACACAAAATAAAAAAGAAGGAGAGGGAAGGACAATAAACCTTTGATGGAAGAGAAGGGGCAAACCACACCATAGCACCACCAGCCATCCACATTTGGTGAGAACCACATTAAAACAAACAGCAACACCAAGAAGTACTGAAGCAGACCACCCCAGAGCATCTGCGGAAAAACACGCTGACAAATACCATTCACAGACCATAAGTATAACTCACCATTGAAAGGCAGGTCATTGCTGATCTGCTCTCCTAGAAGCACAGCTGTCTCATGCGTCCAACATCGCGCTACATTGCGCTTTGTGTAGCCTCCCCCGCCCAAGACCAGGAGAGGAAGATTGAATGACTTCACATAATCTACACACTCCCTGAAAGAAAAAAAAATGTTCGTTTCAAATACTGAAAAAATGGGAGAGGGTTTGACTTTGTTGCTTCCATTTTTTCTGCGTATCCCTGTTACAGCTCTGGGAGTAACTGATTCTGAGATCTTCATCACGCAGTGCAGTGGATTTTTACGTACATAGCCGTATATAGCCGACATAGAATATGTGTCACGACATGGTAGAATAGATCAAGGGTTATCTCCTTTAAACCATTAAAGAAACGCGAGCAAAATGTCACACACCGGCTTTGGTTTTAAAAAACTATCCTGAACTCACCCATGGCCTTTGATACTCAGATTGAAGCATCCCAGTCTGTCACTCCCTAACGAATCAGCTCCACACTGAAACACAAGAACAGAAAGTTGAAATACCAGAGCGGGTTTTCAGGTTACTAAAGTCGTAGAGAACTGAAATTTGAATACAATGAGAGAAGGCTTTTAAAGCAAGAAACAAACAGATCCACTCCAAAACTTAAATAAGAATTCTACGCCACTTGCGACACAAATGGGTCACTGAAGTGCAAATAATTTGGGTGTTAATGTATATAGAGAGCGACGTACAAAGAAAAAAAGGAGAAGCAATATGGACAATAGACGTTCGATCTGAAAGAAAACCAGAGCACCTGCCTTACACTAAAAAAAACCCAAAGGAACAAAAAGCGCAATTTAACCAAAAAAACTTTTTTTTCCTCTCATGTACTATTAGCTGGACAATGTTTGGTTTGGTTTTTTTCAACATTCCGTCCTGTAATTGCATACTCTATTCTCACTTGCCTTTCCATTATTTTTAAATTCAAGCTGCAAATACTATTTCACTCAGTTTATTCTTGTCTTGGTTTCCTTTACAAAATGCCCACTACTTTTTATTTCTGTTCACTCAGTCCATTCCCCGGCATTTGAACTAATATTCAACAAATATTACAGCATCTACATGCCATTTTATAATTTGTTCTTTTCCTTGAAATACCTGTTGCAGTCAAAATCTCTTTAAAAATTCCAAAGAATCTTCACCACTAAGAAAAAAACATAGCATAAATGTCTCAACAAGAATGTCACTATCTTTAAAGGAACTTCTGCACACACAGCAAAAGTCATGAACAGCATGGGTAAAAAAAACCCCAAAAAACGAAGTAGTCTTGAAAGATCCCTTATAAACACTGATAAGGCAGTTGACATTTGCTGGACGTATATTGAGCAGGTATAAAACCTGGGCTTAATAACAAAACATTAAGGAAAACAAACCAAGTTCTGATAAAGAATGAAGTTATACAAATTGTTCATATTTGGGGCACTTGAAACACATGAATTAGAGGAGATTCACATTCTATATATGCCACAAGCCCTGAAAAAATGTAAACTCAAGATGGACGTGATTGCCATTATCTGTACCGAATAAGATACTTGAAGAATAGTGAAGCAATGTTTCATTACCTGTAAAACAACACAAGTGGGCTGGTAAAACTCCATCACACTGGCAATGACTGGTTTGAACACTTGCATGTAACCTGATGAGCAGAAAATGAATGAATAAGAACCATACTTTTGCAAATGAACTACTGAAAACATTACTAGCAAAAGCAATACTTAAAGAAATGAAATCAGCAACTAGGAGATCTGATAGCTTCACAGAGACTGAACTATTTAAGGTCTTAGATTACAATTGATGAGAACAGAAGATACTTTGCAATACAAAAGCTCTGGACATGAACTGACCAGAACATTTAAGAAACGTTGGGATGCTTTTTCTTATCCTGGCATCATTTTGTAAACAGCTCTGAAGTCTGCTAAGTACAACATAACTGCTTCATATATCAATCTACATGTCTTACATGGAATGATTTACAAAGCATGGAACGAAATTTGAGTATTTATACAAAACTAAAAACTTTTAAAGGACTTACTGGCATCATCAATGCCTGCTAACAAAGGTACATTGACTGAGTAGTATCGCCCACTCTCAGCTCCAATTTCATACATGTCTCCTGCAGATTAAACCAAAAACATGATGGTTTTAAAATCTAAAAACTCATGAATTAATATCTTAGCTCGTGAATCAAATACAACTGATAAACAGAATAATGTCTGGTTGAAATGAGAAACAAAGGCCAGCTAAATTACTTGCCAGCCAAAAGTTTGTACATCACTTTGTATCAAAATAAAAATATTAAATTTTTGTAAGCGATGAAAGGAAATCCTATCAGCAAGTACCGGTGAACTAAATTTTCCAATAATTCACTTTCTGTTATCAGGCAAACTTTTTTAGAAACTTCTCTAATCATATTTCCCATGTGAAACTTCTCTCTCTTTTCATACAAATAAAAAAGTTAGTAATATTTGACATTTTGCACTAAGAACTCAGCACACCATTCAACCTACATCTGTGGTCATCAGTAAAAATGTAAAAATAGGTAAGAAAAAAGATAAATAAAATGTGGACAAGTTAAAAACAAAAAGAGACTCACCAGTGCCAGGGAAGAAATATTGGCCATATTTATGAAACGACACACTCATGACCCTGTCTGTAAGATAGAAAGCTTCTTGAACCCCGTCACCGTGATGGATGTCAATGTCTATGTACAACACTCTTGGATGATATCTGAAAAGAAGTCAAGCGTTTAGTCCTGCATTTCTATTTTACACCTTTCAGACAAAGAAACAGTTCTCAAATGCGGCGGACATGCCAGAAAACAGACCAAAAAAAATAAATCCAAAGGAAATGACAAATTTCAAACTCTGAAAAAGTTCACCTGCACACTTTGACATTTGATCAGCTTAAAGGCATTATCTGCATAAATAATAAATAATAATATTGGATTGCATTTATATAGCGCATATCTACTTATGCAATGCTCTATGCGCTTAACATGATACATATTATGGATTTACAAATCAATTTTAAAGGCACATAGTATTACATACACGTGCACACACATATTCATGCATGCACGCACCACACACAAATACACACATACCTTAAAAATTTTAGATTTTCTGCTTCTCTGATAAGATGTAATTTATTTTAGGTTTAACAAGGGTTGTTTTGTCACTTGATGATCTGAGCGTTCTAGGTGGTACATAGGGTGTTAAAAACTGTTTTATGTAGTAAGGTGATAAATGATGTAAGCACTTGTAGCAAGTTAAACAGATTTTATATATGATATGCTCTTTCACCGGGAGCCAGTGTAGTTCTTTTAAAATAGGAGTCACATGATCATGCTTTAGTTTCTTAGTAATTATTTTGGCAGCAATATTTTGTACTCTTTGTAGTTGTTGTAACTGTTCATCAGGTACACCAGCAAGTAAGGAATTGCAATAATCAAGCCTTGACAATATAAGTGATGTTATTAAAGTTTTGGTGACACCAACAGATAGATATTTTCTAATGCTCCCTATTTTCTTCAGTTGTATATCACATTCCATACTAAGATCAGAAAAAAATAGATAGAAACACAAGGAGCGATAAAATAATGAGTGGTATTATTTTCTACAAATATATTTAAAAACAACTAATCACAAATATGCTGGAGCTGTAACTAATCATTCACAGCAAGGGAGGACGACACTGTCACATTTTACTGAGAACAGACACAGACTGGAGTAAAGATGAGATGGACCAGATCAGATGACATGCTACAAACTTTGATGTAGCCAGGTAACTAAGAAGCAGCTGATAATTTCTTCCTACATGTACACACAGACAACTGCTTTTTATACTGTTACATAGTTAAGACAAGCCATCGTGCTAAGAAACACTTTGAAAAGATCACTCACTTGAGCAATTCCAAAATGGCAATGACAATATCGTTGACATAGCAAAAGCCAGATGCCTGTGAAAAGAAAAGAAGCACAAGTGATACAAAATTGCAAGCACACATCAGGTAAAAGTCCTTGTGGTAAGAAGAAAGACTTTCACATCCAAATATTACATAACCAGTCATCTGTCAATTTCAAAGTGCGTTCACCACACAAATGTATGTACAAGTCATTTGTTGAGTAAATAGAGTTACACTAAATCAAGCCAAGAAAAAGTGCAACCTTCAATACTTACCCTTTTTTTCTTCCATATTCTACAGTAAACATGACTGAATTATCTATGGACCTAAATCTGTACTTCTTAGAGTTTGTTTGTTTTTTCTACAGGGCAAAACTATTTTTGTCCCTTTGACATTCTTAATTGATGTCTGAATATATCATTCATTCACAGAACTTACCTCATATTTCTTTGCATGATGAAGCCCACCAGACCAATTGATGGCTATATCACATTGCTGGGAATAAATTTTAAAAAGTTTTGTCACACCAAAATCACAAGTACTGTTTCATAAATGCCACACAACTCATTGTATATCAAAAAAAAAACTACATCTAACCTCAACTACACCCAGTGCCAACAATAAAGCATAATTTCACAAAATAAAACTACTTCCATGTTCATACCACTGGCAAAAAAGGAAAAATGGCAACTACAAAGAGAATCTTTACCAAACCCCCAACTCACATTACACACCACCCAAAAGACAAGGTAAAGCTTTGAGGAAGCCTTAATGGCACAGACCAGTCCCTGTAATCACACTGAAACCCTCAGCTTCTATAACAATAATAATAACACAGTTTTCAATCTAAAAACTTCACACGCTGGACTTAATCAGGTACTCACATTATTATTTAGTTTGACGGCTCCTTCCAAAGAGGCCCCTGTGTACATTTTGCAGAAGTCAAACATGCCATCAAATACAGGGCTGGAGACAAGAAAAAAGCAATCATAATATGATGAATAAAGCACACTACAGTAGGCAAAATGTAATAATACTAACAAACCACTAGACCAGAAACTAAAAGAATCACCATGAACACAAACATTTTCCGTTAACAATTCAAATGTATCTGTACTGGTGTGGGGTTCTCAGGGACTAAAGGTACTGTGTTTGCCTCTCATTCAAAAGGTCCTAGGTTCAAAACCTGACAGAGAATGTTTCTTCTCTAAAATGTTTTCCTTTCACGTTCTTTCCTGCTCTCAAGATATGTTCTGTCATCTGCTTTCATCACCATGCCTGTGCATAGAGGCACCATCAAGGCCTGCTTAAAAATAGGGGATTTATTATTAAGGGGTGGGAATGTTCTTGGAGACTAAAACAAGTGATATTTAGCTTCTTACTAGTTATCTCAACAGTGGTACATGCTGTTACTTATCACACCTCATGGGTTGAAAAAAGTTGCATTCTAATATAAACGCTTTGTCATCGAAGTATTTCACATTTTCCAAAGATTCCCTACCACCATGACTAAACTTGAGCTACTCCCTGGCATACAGCTTCAAAACACATATATGGAAACTGTTTCATTGTATTTTTTGTTTGTAAAATATTTTCCCAATTTCCCAACAATTCACTGTTACTTAAATGTATTTTTACAACATTCTCCATTTTAGCATTAATCTGGCAAAAGGCAGAATAGTATAATAAGATAGCATGTGATAGATTGTAAATATTTTTAGATTTAAATTATAAGAGATGGGCTGCTTCAATCCTGCTTGTCAAGGCCAATGCAGGCTAAGCATTCCAAACCAAACAAATAATGGAAAGATACACTTGGGCAGGAATCAAACACACGCCTCCTGCTAGTAAAGTGAACAGTCTAACCCTTATTCCATGGACACTCTGAACGGCATATATTACTAGCAGAAACAATAGTACAATCACGCAACTTCACCTTTACATGATGAGGGAGCAATATTTATGTTAAAAGACAAAAAACTTAAACTTACCAGTCTTCCCCAACATTGAAGACGGATAAGTACTTGGTGAAGTTCTGTACATTCTGTGGTGTGACTGATCGAAGAAACTGGATATAATCATCAGAGTGAAATCTGCACATATCTCGTTCCGTGGCATGGTATGGACGATAGAGCTGGGGACATAGTTTCTGTGTGAGTTTACATACTCTCAAACATTAAAAATGAGATTTTTCGAAGGCAGAACGCTTCGCCTCATAGTCACAGGTTAATGAAAAAGGAATAGAATTATCAAAGACAAAGATGACGCACCAAAGTGAATATGCTGAAACACAGAATGACTTCTCAAAAATCACTATTCCTATCCATCAATACTGAGATAACTGATGTAACGACAATTTTTCTAAAAAGCAAAATATTTAACCCTTGCTCAAATTTTAGTCATCATATTAATATAAAATATCATGAAATGCAAAATTAGCTCTAAATTACCAGTCTAGTTCTAACTTTCGAAAGGTATTTTATCTTGTTTTAAAGATTTAACCATGAAAAAGTATGATTTGTTCTTTAGTTACTTTTTTCAAGCAACACTTACTTAACTACAATCAAGCAATTATTACCTTCATCTTTTTGTGCAAATCATAACGTAAGACCAAGCAATGGGTCAGAGATATTCTGTGAGGTTTCATTGGATGCCCGGGCCCTGAAACAAGAAATTAACAGATTAATCATTCAGTAATTTAGTTGTTTTGGTACATATGAATGAAATGTTGTACAATTACATAATATTCCTGCTCAACGGCAAGCTCTTTGCCCTTCATAATCCATATTATTACCCCAGCTGACCTGGTAGCACTCTGAAACAATCTCAACTTCCTGGGAAGCATACAGTGCAAGCAGCCATTTAATAGGCGCTAAAACACTATTTATACTGACGAGATCTTTCGCTGTCTGTGGCCAGGGTACCCATTCATACCTGGGTGAAGTGAAGAAAATATGTGGAAAGTGCCTTTCCCCAGGTCACAACGTCGGGCCTGTGGCTCTAACTCCTGAACCCGCAACATCACGATTACGAGTCCGGTAGCCTAAACATTAGGTCACCGACGCCACATATATCAGTAAGCTCAGACACAACATGAAACTCTTTTGTGCAACTTCTAATATTAGCTGTTAAAGTACACCAAATAACTTTGAAAAAACATTTGATAAATTTTAACTGTCACTCCCACACACAGCTATGCACTGCTTTTGGGGGTCAAACTTGTATTTTGGGCTGCAGATCACGCATTTATATGGCACTGCCACCAAATCATCACAAATCAAAGAAAATTTCGAAACTAAATGCAAACATCAACTTATATTATAATGTGGTGAAACAGGAGGTCATGATGCCCCCTACAATCCCCCAGATTTTTGTTACCTTAGGGGGACATGAAGTGAGGGGGGGGGGGAGGTATGTCTGCCCCCCCCCCCCCCCCCTCTCCCCACACCAGATTTGTCCTTTTACTTTTACTTTTTTACTTTTATCCGCCGTTTATACCCTTTTTTGAGTGTCGCGGGGAAAAAAGAGACGTCTCTCTGTCGCCAGCCGGAGAGCTTGGGCCAGGGGGATGCCGTGGGTGATTAATGTTTCCCTGACTCCATCTATCCAGGTCTTTCTCGGTCGCCCTCTGGCCTTGTTGCCATCAAATTTTTTTAATGTAGGCACGTTGTGCTGGATGGTGAGTTGGTAATCGTATGAGATGTCCGAACAATTTGATTCTTACGTGTTGGATGTGATGCATGACATTATTTGTGCCCACCATTTCTCTAATTACTGAATTTCTGATTTTGTCTCCCCTGGTCTTGTTTTCTGCTTTTCTAAGGCATCGCATTTCACATGCTGTTATTCTTTGCTCTAATGTCTTGTTCGTGGTCCATGTTTGGCATTGATAGGTGAGTGTTGGGATGAATATGGTGTTGATAATTTTGAGTTTTGTTGTCATGGGGACGTTAGGATGTTTCAGTAGAGGAGCAAGCTGGTAACTAACATTATTAAATTAGTCTTTTGTACTCGTGTTCCAATTTCTCTGTTTAGTCGCCCATCCTCTGTGAATATACTTCCCAGGTACTTAAATTCTTGGACCTGTCTGAGACTGTTGTTGTTGATGTGTATCCTGAGTGGTCCTGGCTTTCTGCTTACTTTCATTGTCTCTGTTTTGTTGATGTAGATCTTCATGTCATAGTAATCACATTCTTCGTTTAATCTGGTGGTGTGGTGTAGGAGACTCTGTTCATCTCCGTGTGCCAGGCTTTGGTCATCAGCGAAGAGTAATTCATTTAAGGCGTCTGGTTCTGTGCCTCTTTTGTAATTCTATCCATATATATGAGCAATTGCCAAAACGTGAGACTCTCTTGAGACTCAGTGGTGCAAAAAAATTTTTCTTACCAATTTGACTCTCTTTTCTGTCAGTCACAGATTGACATTTAATGCTCATATTCCTAGAGTATCAGAGCAAGGAGATGTACGGTTTTGGAGATATGGGTCTATTGGTTTGGCAACTACTGTATTTCTTGTATGTAACAGTGATGACAAAAACAGATAAGCAGCAAGGCAAATTATAGACTTTAAATTCCATTTGTTTAGTAAACAAACACTTTGTACACTATGAACTCCAATCATAATGGATATATGAATGGCAAGCTTTGTAACAATGACGCAGTGCACAGAACATGTCATCATTGTTATGTACAAGAAAGGATACACATTGGACATTATCATTGACAACACATCACAATAGTGAAAGGCTGTACAAATACAGTTATCAAAGCCTCAGTACCAGAAAAACACATGTGTAAAACAATTTTTTAACTAATATGAGGCAAAAGCCCAAAATCAATGGAGCTGACTTGTACATAACAGTGATGACAAACATGACTTGTACATAACAATGATGACACAATGTACAGGAAAAGACAAAAGTCTTGCCTCCAGAGATAAAAGCGCACTTTAAGAATTTAAAAAAAACCAGGAGAGGTTTCTTTTGCTTTGAAACAGATATCAGGTCATATCAAAGACAGTGGACGATCACAATTATGTTGCTAATTATGACAAACAGTACTCGTACATAACAGTGATGACAAAACATACTGGGAAAAGGTAAAATCATGCCTACAATTTACTACAAAGAACAAATTTGCACTAAGAGATACACAGATCAATAAAGGCGTATTTTGCTTCTAAATGAATCTTGCATGTATGAAATATATGTTGAAAACTTATTGATATTAGCAATTATGAAAAATATTACTTGTACATAACAATGATGACACAATGACACAATGTATTGGAAAAAGGTATATCATACAAACAAAGAACAAATGTGTATTTTTGAGTTAGACAGATAAACAAGGACATGTTAGTTTATTTGTTTGAGTAAAGAGAGCACACATTACTTAAAAAATGTTTGCTCTTAGGACAATGTAATTTCTTGTACGTTAGTCAGTCTTGTACGGCTGCATGACGACACCCCAAACGTCATCACTGAGCACAAAAGCTAAATCTATAACCACAAAAATGATCCATCTCTCGAAGTTTGTTCACACATCACACTCTTGTTCCAGGAATCCAGTGTTAACACCGCAATTTCACTAAAATATTCAACAGAGTAGCCTAAAAACACGCAAAACAGCCCAGTACGTCACATTCAACTCAAAATTCTTGTGCGTCACCGGACGCTGAAGACAATGACTACTTTCGTTTTTCTGTTTCCCCCGTTGCTTCCGTTGTTCTGGGGACGCGGGTAAGGGGAAGTCACTCAAGAAAACAATTATATCCGGGCACTTTTGATGACCCGTTCAAAACAAAAGTGGGTGAAATTCGGACTTCCGGCACGTCGCAAGTTGACGACAATAACGGCGAATGTTTAACAGCCGACCGAAATCGTAGATCTAGGAACCCGATGTTCCTTTCGCGCATCGCGGCTTTTGAAGTATTGAATAAACGACGATAGGCAAAGAGATTTAACCAGCAGTGATTCTACTGAAAAATAATGGTGTGTTTTCTGAAACACCTAGTCCGTGACGACAGGACAGACACACAAGTAATCCGAATTGTTCGTCTATTTGCAAACAAATAAACCGATTTCTTGAGCAAGTTAACTTTTCTCAATGACAAATAACATAGGATCAAAGCACATGTAAAAAAAACACACCCAAAAATACTAAATTTTGGACATTCTTGGAAGTTTGCATTGGTGTGCTCAAAATGACACTCCAGGAATCACTAAAAAACGAACATTTTTGGCACAAAATTTACAAACTCAAGATTGTAAAGCTGACAAGGGGTCTGAAACTGCTAATGCAGGTTCTACATCCTATATTTGACGTGTGTACACGTTTTGGAGGAATAAATACAAATGCATCACATTTTATGCACACTAATGTGAGATGTGTGTGTTTTTCCCCACGTTTTGGCAATGGCTCATATAATAAATAGTAGTGATGATAGGACACAACCTTGTCTTACTCCGGATCTCGATCCATTCTGTGAGTCCCCCCGGCGCTCTTACAGTATTATATGCTGTTCTCGTAAAGGGCACGGATGTTATCTAGAATTTGGCCTCTTACTGAGTCTTACAGAGCAGTTTTCGAGGTCTTTCCACAGCTTGTTTCTGTTCACTCTGTCGAACGCTTTCTCCTGGTCCATAAATACTATAATTAGTTCCCTGTTGTGTTCTATTACGGTACCTTTCTGACATTGGTCGTAGGGGATTGCTGGGTTCAACGAAACCAGATTTGTCCAATGTGCGAAAATTACTAATCATAATTTGCGACAGATTTAACCCATTCGCTACGCCGAGCCGTGGGGGGGCGGCACGGATAAAGTGCCGTCAGTACGCTAAACCGCCCCCCGGCGGCTCGTGAACTGATCTTCAATTTTAGCTTAGATTCTATTCCAATCCACATATCCATGAATCCATGTTAAAATAAAGGTCATAATATAATGTTGACTTCCGGGTCAAGCATTTCCACTGAAAATCGGAAGTTTAGATTCTGTTTTGAAACGCGTTTTCGTGGTTTATTCCACTTTGTTTTATCGCGATGCCAAAATTATAGCCCGGACACCAGTCTTAGTAATTTTACACAACAACATCTATCATTATTTTGCCGACTAAAGAAGTGTAAGACTCTTTTTTATATATTGATACGATTGGACTCATATTGCCAATGCACTGTTATTGAGAAATCAATATTTTTGAGTGCCAGATCTAGGTCTAGAACTAAATTGTTAAAATATTTTTTTCTCCACAAAATCACTACTTTTTGATGAAATTACAAAAAAGTGCCACTCAAGATATGTATAGGTTTATTCCAAATGCAATTCTGAATAATTCCATATAAGATACGAGTGGGTATTTTTCTGTTTGTGATCGTTTTTCAAGATTATAAAAAAATTAATTTTTTTTCAATATCGGATGTTATGATCCAAATGTACAAATATTATGGAATGTCATGTAAATAACTGCAAACTTTTCAATATTTTCCAGTTCTATATTCATTTATGGTTATTTTGATGTATCATTTGACTAGGTGCAAACATATTTTTTGAGTTTCACCAAAGATTATTATTTTCAAATTTTATCCGCTTTCAATCAAAATTGTGTTGCATAATTGCCTCTTACAGGAACCAAAGTTGAAAAATACCCAAATAAACAAAACAGG